AAAAAAAACTGGAAATCCAGAGCTGCGAGTTCAATCAGGGTGAGCAATTGAATGCACTCAATGTGATAAATATTAATCAGGTTTCTGCCGAGTTTGTTTCTGTGAATTTTGTTGGGTCCTTCTTCCTCTTTTGCCTTGTTATGGTTATTCTGTTTTTCCTGAAACTGGTTTAACGAGATTCTAAAATTTTGCTAGGAGGGTATGAAATTAGAAAGCCAATTAGATTTTTTGATTTTTGAGTTTTTCTTAGTTAATATGTTTAGCAGGTAGGGTAATTGGGTTTTTTGTAATACCTTGATTTAGTTATTGATTTTTTTTTTTTTGGTGATTTGGTGGTTGAATTTGTGAAGAATTTCTGATTCAAGTTCAAAACTTGGTGTATGGGTTTTGCACTTTGATGTTCTGGCTGTATAGAATATTTGGAAGAATTTTGATCTGAACGCAATGTGATAAAATTACTGCTTTGCACTATGTTACTAAGGTGACTGTTCAAAAGGGAAAATGAAACTGTATGAGAAGGGTATCTTTGTTTTTTTAGTTCATTCCATAGCTTGTTTACTGCATACTTTTCTTTCCTGGAATTACTTTTGTCATAGGTTTCGATTAAAGGGAGGATGAGTCTTATGTTTCTCAATTTGCTTGAGTTCCAATAAGCATGAACTATTTAAGAAACTTAATTGCTTGAGTTCCTTCACTTGTTTGTTGGGTGGGAATTTGCTGAATGTCTACTCTCTAGTGACAAGAAGTAACTACCTTAAACACAGCAATAGATTAATTTGTTGGTTGGAAACCAAAGCGAATACTTTGCAGCTTGTATAGTTTTATCAATCAAAGTGTGCCTGTCTCTAATTTCTGGTTCACTTCTTCGACATGAGTTCTAGCTTTATATTACAGAATAAAGTAGGAGTTATCTTGGAACCATGTGCTGGTCTGCTGACTCACGGTCTCTTCTATGAGTCCAATACCAGCCCTGCAGTTTTAGACTTTCTCCCTCAGTATTTTAATTCTTGTTAGTAAAGACAAACTGTTAGTGGAAAATTTTGCTTTCCTAATTTAGGGGGTTGTCTCTTGCTCATCTTTTATGTGACTTTTCCTTTTCATTGTCAACTAGTGAATTTGAAGGCTGCTCAGAAGTCAAAATAGCATCCCAAGTTTATTAGGAACTTTTAAATGGAAGAATATCACTCTGTCAACAGTCCTAGAAGAATCCTTAGTCTTTCAAAGAGGAGAGCAACTGTATCATTCTTGGATCCAGATGACAAGGCTTCTGGGTTCGGATTGTCTGGAGAGCATGGTCCCAAGCCTTCTGAAGTTTATGGGTTTGTAGGGTCCATCACAACTGTTATTGCAACAGGTCATGTAACATGTCAGTTACTTGTTTCTAAAATTTCACTGAGTTGAACTTGCTGCATTACATTAATTCCACTGCATGGTGTACCTTATTTGTAAAGACAATGATTTGATAGAGACTTTTCCTGAAAGACTTATCCTTTTATCTTACTTGATTTTGGAATGAGGATGGTTTGTTTAACCTTTCATGGTTATTTAATTAGTTATACAGTCATTCTAAACTAGACACATTCCACCATTGAAAATTAAAAGTTGGTTGGTCCAAGCTCTAAGCAGTTGCCTTCATGGATTCATCCATGAATTAGGATTGAGGGAGTATCTTAGTGTTTTTAGAAGTATGGTTACAATGTTTCTGCTCTCTTTTGTGGGCATTGTTTAATCTTATTGTGGTTCCTCTGCCTTTTTGTCTTTGCTGTTACTTTTAGATGCTTGGACGTTCGCTCATGGTTCTTCTGTTGCATTGCTATCTTGTTTGCCTATAGCCTTTGTCCACTAACCTAAGTCTGTATTGAAAGCTAAATTCTTGTAGAGGTCTCAAGAAGTATGAATATCTGAGATATATCCATTTTTCTCTGTCACAGTCATTTTCTTGGTATGGGCTTATGTTCCTGAACCTTGGCTACATTCAATTGGGATCTTTGATTATCCAAGCAGGTAACCTCTTACCATGTTTAAATCTTTATTCACGTTAAGTTTTGGTTACAAATTTACAATCAACCCAGATAAAATAGCTTGCTGGAAATAAATCATGTTTATACAGATAAGATAGGTTTATACAGGTAGCTGTGATCTCCTTGCATATTTATTTATACCTATAGGACTTAGGCTACAAGATAATAAATGGGAAAGAATTGAGTGATTGCGATTTTGTGTTTGCCTTCTCAGATATTGGGCATTAGCAATACCAACATATGTTATGGTAATAATAGTGCTTGCTATTGGATTTTACGTGGGTCTCAACTTCATGTCAACCCCTCCACCAACTTCGTTAAATACAATATTTGGTAATGTGGAACTTGCTTGGACTGTCTCGTTAAGTTGTTTTTGTATATTTAGGATTTTCTAAAGTATCTATAGCAGGAGCTAATTAAGTTAGTCCAAATGAGCAAGTTTTTGACATGTACTAGATTCCCATTGATGTTTTTCTGTTGTTTGGTTTTTCAGATGAATTTAGCAGAGAACCTTCAAGGTTCCAGCCTCAAATGGAGGGAGAGGAGCAGCCAATTGAGCCCATCTCGGATATTAGCGTCAACAAGATCAATTTTCTCATGTTCAATCATCAATGAGAATAATACAAGACTTTATAATAGGCAAAGGTTTCACACCACACCAAACATGACTACAGTTTTATTTTGTATGTTATCAAGTTTTGTCTGTAGTTATTATATTGTAGGAATTAGCAAACCCCATTCATCTTCCTATCTGTCACAAACTTCCTCCAGGCCATGGTGATTTCCCTCAATTTCTTCCTTGTCTTTTCATTCTCTTCACTGGATATTTTAGCCTTGACCTTGGCAGGTAGGTTATCAAGCTCCTGCAAGACCCTCACAATGTCCATAACAAGGCGCTCAGCAAGTGTTCGGGAGAAGTCCTCTCTTATGACCACACGGAGAACCGTCACATGCTGGGCATCCGGCGGCATGGTGTATGCTGGCACAATCCACCCAAACCGACGCAGTGTCTCTGACACCTCAAACTCATCGTGCCTGCTATTGTCCTTAAGAGAAAAGGCCACCAGGGGCACTCCATTGTCCTTTGAGATGATGTTAAAGCGGCCAGTTGCCTCCAGCCCTTTTTTCAACACCACCATATTCTCCCGGCAATTCTCCATCACACTCCGGTAGCCCTGTGAAGATACATAGGTTATATCACAACTGTTACATGAGATTGTGAGAATTCATCGTAACAAGAACTTTGGTTGGTAAAGAAAAACCAACTGACCTCGTAACCCAAGCGAATGAGCTGGTAGTACTGGGCAATGACTTGGCTGGAACCTTTGGAGAAGTTTAGGGTGAAGGTTGGCTGATCAGCCCCAAGATAATTGATGTGGAAAATCAGCTCTTCAGGCAAATCGTCTTTGCTTCTCCAAATCACCCAACCAATGCCGGCATATACCAGTCCATACTTGTGCCCACTGACATTAATACTCTTCACCAATGGCAACCGGAAATCCCACTCCAACTCCGGATACAGAAACGGTGCAACGAAGCCACCGCTGGCGGCATCCACATGAATGGCCGTATCCCACCCTGTTTTCCTGTTCTTCTTCTTCAAGAGATCATTCAAGAGCTTTACATCTTCAAATTCTCCGTTGAGGGTGGAACCCAGGATGGCAGCAACACAGATGGTGTTCTCATCCACCATTTCAACGGCTTTCACCGGGTCCATCACGTAGTAGCCATCTCTTAATTTCACTTCCTTGAGCTCCACTTCAAAGTACCTTGCGAATTTCTCCCAGCACACCTGAACGTTGGCCCCAGTGACAATGTTGGGCTTGTCGTAAGGCTTCCCCTCAGCCTTTCTCTTGTTCTGCCACCTCCTCTTGAATGCCAATCCGGCCAGCATGATGGCCTCCGATGACCCCACCGTCCCCACTCCGATTGCTGCCTCAGATTCTCCCAGTGGCGCGTTAAACAGATGTGCAATCATGTTTACGCAGCGATTCTGTTTAATCAATTCATTATAATATCAACAGAATAACCAAACATGAAACATGATTGAGAACCATGAAAATTAAGATGATTTAACATTTAAAATATTAAGATTATTTGTTTAAAATATTAAGATTATTTGTGAAATTATTAGGTACTTAACTCTAATGATTATTTATGATATTTAAATTGTCAATGTTTTAATTTTCATTAATTCAAATATTTATATGAATTATTTTTTGATTTATATGAATTATAATAATTTAGTCCAAAAAATTGAATATTTGAAAAAAAAAAAACAAAAATCTTGCATAATCTTCCAGGAGAAGGAATAAGAAAAAGACGACGGTGATTTTTGACCCACAAAAAGGAGGATCGAATTAGTGGCAGAAAATTCTGAGCCGTTGGTTATATGTGAATTTGACTACTTGCTTCCAAAGGCTAATTATTTTCCAACGTTTCCCATTGATTAAGTTGGTC